ATTATTATTATTATTATTATACTGTCCCAGAGATTAAAAATCTCGTCTCAGCTGTGAAATTTAACAACAAAGACATTGGGTTCACAGTGAAATGTTTGACAGTCTGCCAATGCAGGTTTCACTAGCAATCTTAAGCAGAAGAGATTTAGATATTGGCAGAATTGTTCTCTCATATGCACATCCCATGCATTAGTGAATCTGTGAGGAAGGCATGTGATCATACTCACTACCTATGTCCTCAACAATATTGACATGCCTTCTGACCATTCAGCTCCCATGGCCATGCAACAACTGACATGAACAAGTCCTTTTCACACTATTGCAAGGTAGCTTGTGGATGTATTAGGATCCCAGCTCCTTTCTCACATGTCCAGCAAGTGTGGGAGATATCTTGAGAAAAAGAAGGTAGCACGAGAAGGGTGTTCTAGTGGGACAGGAGATATATGTGTATGTATATGTGTGTGCTTTGTGTGTATAAAAACATAAACAGAAGTGTCTAAAATGCATTAACCAAGTTGGCTACATGCAGTCTATTTGTAAAAAAGATTAAGGGAACACTAAATGCACCATATCTCCAGCTTGAAAGCGTCATTAGAGGTTGTAACACTAAGCAAACATCAGTGTCAGTTAATGCCCTAAGACAAGAGGTCTTGATCACCTCAAGCTGCTCTGTACAGAAAGTCAGAGTTAAAAGTCCAGGTCAGTCTAACCTGGAACTGCCAACTCCAAAAGTCCTGAAGGCAAACCCAATCTATACTGCAAATGCTCAGACGAATCTGATGGCGATGCTTCTGCCAGGGATTGGCTGAGCTGCTCTGATATCACAGCGAACAAAAAGGTCTCTTCGCTGTCTTCTGGGGTTTCCCCAGAAAAAAAACCTGGGAAGGCGAGTGGAGGGAGAGATGAACCATGACACTAGCAAAAGGAAAGGTAGAAACCTTAATTCTGTCATTCAGATATGTTAGAGTAGACTGTCCTGAATTGAAGCTCTCCCAAGCTCTCCCAATGTGTAGGACTACAGTTCTCAAAACAGGGGCAATGGGAGTTATAGTCCAACATCCAGGCTGAGGAAGGCTGCATTGGGGGGTACCCTATAAAAGAAAGTGCTAGCTTCAATACACATTGTTAATATAGATGATGCTCCTCTTAATTAACTATAGTAACAGGATTTTTAAAAGATTGGGCTTTGCCTCCCCCCAAGTCTATATGTCAATTTCATTGATTTATAATGATGCAGAAAAAGGAATTCCAACCCCTGGAACAGCAAGGAAGTTAAAAAGGAGCTTAGAAAATACACCTTGGCTGCATACCAGCTGGAGCTTTCAGCCAGCTGGACCAGCCACATACCACATACCGTGCCTTTCAGACAAAACATTCCTTTCTTTGAGCTGCCTCTGGCATAAAAGGTTATTTATGTCTGATTGCAAGAATCCCCGTGGAGCAGACTAAGGCTTACACTTTAGTTAACCCTCTACTCTGGACTTTACTGCATGAAGGCCCCGGAGCAGTCTCATGAATCCCATAAGCCATTTTATAACAAAAGCAAAGCTGGTACTACACAAAAGCAGGAACATGAAGCCTGCCTGGTATTGTATCCAAAGTAGGTGAAGGACCTGAAATAAACCTCAGCAATTTTACTATGCCTAAGCAAAGTGATAATTAAAAGGTCCAGAATCCTTACTGGGCTATTTATTGAGCTATGTAAAATACAGAGCACAATTAATAACTATGCAGTTCTCTACAATTAAACCAGTTTCCCCTACAGATATTTGTGGCCAGCTCTTGGGCTAGTGGGGTCACCTTTATTTGTAGGGGCAATATAACTGATAAGAGAGCCAGTGTGGCATAGTGGTT